ATGAGTCAAATGTGTCCTTTTATTTAAAATGCATCTCTGGGTTATTTGTGGGGCCTGCCTGGTGTTTTTACATGAGTAGAATGTGTGCTTTTATTTAAAATGCATCTCTGGGTTATTTGTGGGGCCTGCCTGGTGTTTTTACATGAGTAGAATGTGTGCTTTTATTTAAAATGCATCTCTGGGTTATTTGTGGGGCATAGGAATTCATTCTCCTCCCCCCTCCAAAATATAGTCCGCCCCCCCCCCACAAGGTCTGAGGGATGGTGGACCCGCCCCCTGCTAAAAAAGTTTGCTGACCCCTGGCCTACACAATGGTGACTGAAGTACTTTGGAAGAGGGCATGGCTGACAGAATGGAGCTGTAAACAGGAGCTCTGCACGCTGCAACACTTTGTTGCAGTCTCATCTGCCAATGGATACCCGCTGTTACGGCAGGTGAACCTGTGGCCCGAAGGTCTGATTTCATGCAGTCCTCTGGCCTAATTTCATGTGGCTGGGGAGGAGGGGAGGAGAAAGAAGGGGTGGCAGCGTGAGAACGAGAGAGAGAAAAGAGAGTGGCCAAGAAAGAGACTTGAATGGGCGCCCTTGGCCATTTCCCCCTCTGAGCTGCCCTAACATATGATAGCAAGGAAATATGGGCCATGATAGGGCAAGAACATGGGCTCCATGATCACTGCAGATGGTGACAGCAGCCACGAAATTAAAAGACACCTGCTTCTTGGGAGAAAAGCAATGACAAACCTAGACAGCATCTTAAAAATCAGAGACATCACCTTGCCAACAAAGGTCCATATAGTTAAAGCTATGGTTTTCCCAGTAGTGATGTATGGAAGTGAGAGCTGGACCATCAAGAAGGCCGATCGCTGAAGAATTGATGCTTTTGAATTATGGTGCTGGAGGAGACTCTTGAGAGTCCCATGGACTGCAAGAAGATCAAACCTCTCCATTCTTAAGGAAATCAGCCCTGAGTGCTCACTGGAAGGACAGATCCTGAAGCTGAGGCTCCAAGACTTTGGCCCCCTCGTGAGAAGTGAAGACTCCCTGGAAAAGACCCTGATGCTGGGAAAGATGGAGGGCACAAGGAGAAGGGGATGACAGAGGACGAGATGGTTGGACACTGTTCTCGAAGCTACCAGCATGAGTTTCACCAAACTGCGGGAGGCAGTGGAAGACAGGAGTGCCTGGCCTGCTCTGGTCCAGGGGGTCACGAAGAGTCGGACACGACTAAACGACAACAACAACAGGGCAAGAACGGAGGCGTCCCCTCCCATTCTTTTGGCCTTTTGACTCTCTGAAAATGGTTGGCTATGTCAGAAAAAAATTCTCATTCTCTCTCTCTCTTTTCCTAGGCTTCACTAGCTCAGCAGAGCTTTTTGCTTGATTGCACAACCTGAGAGTCTGCAATGTGTGTGTGTGTGTGTGTGTGTGTGTGTGTGTGTGTGTAGATGCTCATAAAAGCCGCCTCTTTCTCCCTCCCAGAAAACAACCGTGAAATAGACCCTGCGTAGCAATTTGATTTTGCTGCAATTGAATTACCTTCTAAGGAAGCCATAACGGGCCTTTCTGAAATGACGTGGGAGGGGTAAATGGATTGACGGTGTTGTTTCTTTGTGTGTGTGTGTGTGTGTGTGTGTGTGCGTGTGTGTCCCCCTGATGTCATTTCTGGCCACCTGACGGAGCCATTGAGAGGCCCCCTACTTTAATTATAGCATGAAAGAGGCGAAGGCTGCACCAGCACTGCATTCAGAAACAGAATGTGCCACTTTAAACACCCACTGCTCCAGCTCCCCCCCCCCCAATAATCCTGGGAACTGTAGTTTGTCAAGGGGTTCTGAGAGTCATTAGGAGACTTCACTGGGGTAAAGTGTGCATTAATTGGTGGCCGTGTGGGGCAGTTATTAGAGTGCTGGACTGAGACCTGGGTTCAAATCCTTCACTCAGCCATGAAGCTCACTGGCTGCTCTTGGGCCACTTACTGCCTCTCTCAGCCTAGCCTCCCTGAGAGGGTTGTTGTGGAGATAAAATGGGGAGGGGGAACTATGCACACCATCTTGAACTTCTTGGAGGGAAAAAGCAGGCTGTTAATGTAAGAAATTATCTATATCTATATCTATATCTATATAATATAAATAATGAAAGCAGATTATATTAGGGGAAATTGCTTTGCAAAAAAGAAGAAGCACATATTAGTAGAAATTTGCCCTAAAATGCATATTCCTAATGAAATTTGTTATGTACTGAGTTGAATAGGATCCAAAATGCAGCAGTCTGATTGGTCCTAGAACAATGCAGCAGTCTGATTGGTCTGCAGGAACCACCCAATCCAGCTCCAGATGGAAGTGAATCCACAACCTGATTGGCCTAGAGGAGAATTCCGGAATTAGCCAATCACGTGCAGCCCATTGTGTAAATAATGTATATAATGCAGATACTTTGGGGAAACTTTCATTCCTCCTCACCACTATGAGCTGAATAAAGAGCATGAAATACACTCTCGACTCTGAGTATATTTCAAAATTCACCCTAAAATTCACCCCTATTCTAGTCCTCACGAAAATGCATTAGCATTTTAGGGCATGTTTCTGCTAATAGGTGCATCTTTTTGCAAGCCATTTCCACCAAAGTGTAATGGATTTATATGTACCAACTTTCAGAGCAGCCCCATTGAAATGAATGGGCATGAGTAACTTGGCTCCATTCACTCAAATGGGCCTAACTCTGAACAGAATTTGGTTTGACGCAAGCCAAGGTATAACATTTATGATATGGAAAGTCACAGGGGGCTTTACGGGGCATAAGCCGATCGGAAACAAAGCAGTCTGTCCATCCCAAACTTTTGCAGGCTGGGATAGTATTGGAAGTGAGATTGTGTCTAACTGCCCTGATAACACTGTGATCACAAATCGTCCCAAATGCACAATGAAAAGGATCCCAGTGGATTTGGTTGGCTTCAGAATGCAGGTGGGATTTCTAAATCAATGTTAGACAGCCAGAGATTAAAATGATTGGAGGGAAGATCAAAAGGAGAATGAAAAGCTGAGCTCATTTTTATTTTTTAAGAATGGGGGGAAAGTTCCCAGGCTCTGTTGAAATATTGAAGGCTTTTAAAATGTCAGCCTCCAGAACAGGCAATACAGCCCCAAGGATTTGCCCTGTGCTAGATGATCTGTCTGGATTCTGCACAAATTAACACAGAGAGAAGAAGTCTCTAGCATAGTTCTGTCAATGTCCTTGAAAAAAACACAGGCAGACAAAACCCCCACACAACTGGCTAGCCCAAAGATGGGGCAAGAGAGAGAGTGGGGGGTGGCCATTTGAAACATCCCCACAATAGAGGCAAATTGGCAGCTTATTGGCAGAGCATCTGATTTGCAGAAAGTCCCAGGTTTCATCTTTAACATCTCCCAGGTGGGCTGCGAAAGACCCCTGACTAAAATCTGTTGCCAGCTTAATTTCCAGGAACATTAGGTGACCTCCAGCATCCATGAAAAGCATGCAGTTTTGGCTATGGTAAGGTAAAGGTAAAGGGACCCCTGACCATTAGGTCCAGTTGTGGCCGACTCTGGGGTTGCGGCACTCATCTCGCTTTATTGGCCGAGGGAGCCGGCGTACAGCTTCCGGGTCATGCGGCCAGCATGACTAAGCCGCTTCTGGCGAACCAGAGCAGCGCACGGAAATGCCGTTTACCTTCCTGCCGGAGTGGTACCTATTTATCTACTTGCACTTTGATGTGCTTTTGAACTGCTAGGTGGGCAGGAGCAGGGACCGAGCAACAGGACCGCACCCCGTTGTGGGGATTCGAACCGCCGACCTTCTGATCGGCAAGTCCTAGGCTCTGTAGTTTAACCCACAGCGCCACCCGTGTCCCTTTTGGCTATGGAGCCATACCCAAAAGCCCAGAGAGAGAGAGAGAGAGAGAGAGAGAGACCTTCATCTTTCAAATTCACCCCACCCCTTCCCTTCCATGCAGTCTTTGACTTAACCCTCTCCACCCCCACCTCTCAACTGAAGCAAAACCAAATTAATCCACTAACTAATCACAGCACCTGCTGTTAGTACCCTCAAGTATTTAAAAAATGCATCGCGTTTATCTTAAGACACACACACCATCCATAACAAATGCATCACGGTTGTTTGCACATTTAAAACGCAACAGTAAACAAACAAACAATAAGACATTTCTTCATTAAAACAAATTTTTTTAAAAATAGCCAAGAAGCATGGGATAAAAGCAGCTCAGTGGTCTAAGCTTGGTTGGATTAGGCGGTGATTCTATGTCTAGTCAGAAGTAAGCCCCATTGAATTCAATGGAGCTTATTCCCTGGTGGGGGTTAGGACTTCAACTACTCATGGTCACTTACCTGCTTTTTTGCCCTCTGGTTTTTTTGTGGGGGGGTGGGGTGGGAGGAAGGAGAACAGTTGTCAAAATTCAGATTGTGTGCACCTTGGGAGCAGAGACCTGCCTCCTTTACTCACTGTTACTCTGCAAAACGGCAATGCACATTTTGTGACAGACAAACGGACTGTTTTGCAACACACCGTGGCTACAGTGATCATATTTGGGCTGCCTTTGTCCTAAACCAGGCATGGCCAAACTCGGCCCTCCAGATGTTTTGGGACTACAACTCCCACCATCCCTAGCTAACAGGACCAGCGGTCAGGGATGATGGGAATTGTAGTCCCAAAACATCTGGAGGGGCGAGTTTGGCCATGCCTTTCCTAAACGAATGCATGACAACGCTTCCCACATAACACCACAAAGCGAGAGAGGTGGTTGTGAGAGCAGAGTCCGTGGTCCAGAGAAAGGGGAGACCACACATTTCCAGGGGCTCCTGGACCAGCAGAGAACAGTGGGGCCGTTTCCCCAAGTTTGCACAGATGACCTGAGAAAGCCATTCTTGGTTTCAAATGCCTTGTCTCTTTCTGGTCGGGATGCTCCCGTTATTCTGGTGGGTTAGGCTGAGAGACAGTGAGTTGCCCAAGGTCACCCAGTGAGCTTCATGGCTGAGCAGTGATTTGAACCCTGGACTTCCAAGGTCCTAGTCTGACACTCTGACCACTGCACCACACTGGCTTATCATTATTTTCACACGATCATTCCGGAGCAGGATGGTACAATGGTTAGAGTCTCAGACTAGGTGCGGAAAACCAAATCAAATCCCTTGAGGCCCACCGAGTGACCATGAGCCAGTCTTCCTTTCTCAGCCTAGCCCACCTCACAGGGTCATTGTGGGGACTTAAAAGAGGGATAGAGATCCAGGTTCACCACCACAAGCTCTGTGGTGGATATGAACTTTGAGGCTGGGTTACTGCAATGTGCTCTTCCTCGGACTGCGCTTGGAAGCTCCAGTTAGTACACAATGCAGAGGCTAGACTGCTGGCAGGGGCAGACAGCAAGACCAAAAAAGGAAGCAAAAACACTGTATCCAACTAAGTTCTACTCAGAGTAGAACACTGAAATGAATTGTTATAGGTTTGGAGAGTCAGTCTGGATGATATCTGTGGGTCTCTTCGAGGCTTGTGATCCTATGTATGTGATGTTTAGAATCAAGTAGAAGAGGCCACTGAACCGGTCAGCCAAGTTCCTTTGTGAGATGATGGCCTTAGCTGGCCAGTTAAGTACCACCATTTACATGTCTAAAGAGGTTGTTCTGTTGCCATGGAGACAAATGGGTAGGTGTTTTCCAAACCGCCATTCTCCTAGAATGGAGAATAATAGGCCGTGTTTGTTTGTTTGTTTGTTTGTTTGTGAGTGTGTGTGTGTGTGTGTTGGTTGGTGCTGGAAGGTGGGAATGTCTTGCTCTGTGCTGGACCTAAAGCTGAGTTTGGGGCGTCCCTGGAACCCTAATAAGGAGACAAGATCTCTTGCGATGTCAATGCCGCAAGCTCAGGTTGTATAGATGTGTAAATAAAACCATATATCCTAAAGACACAGCAATCGCCACGGATCTTCATTCCCAGGAAACCAAACTTTGGGGAAGTGCCAGAACTGCAGGAATCTCTCGCAGCTTGGAGACTGGGATGCATGCAGCAGTGCAAGCCTAAATCATCCAGGGCCATTCATTTCAATGGGTCTACTCTGAATAGGAAGAACACTGGCTAGAACCCGGAGTGAGTAAGCTGTGGCAATGGGGTGCATAAGAAACACGAAACCGTGACTCCCGCTAGCAATGAGCTCAGGTGGTGCGTGCCAACAAGTCTGGAGCAGCAAACTGGCGAGCCTGCGACCTGCAAATCCCCCCAAAATTGGGAGGTAGGCGGCACCTGTGAGCAATATCCGGACACAGCGACTGGCAGCTATGAAGCGGTAGCCAAAGCGCCTCCCGCACCCACCCCATTCTCTTTGAAGCACCTTGAGGAGCTAGATTTCATGCTGCGGTGCAAGATGGGCCAGCCTAGGTCTCGCAGGGTGCAATAACAAGACACGTGGCTAAGCCAGGCCTTACCTTTCGGTACTCAGCCTTCGGTACCTGGTTTCCCCCAGGCCGAGAAACAACGAAATGGAAGTGTGGCAGAATGGAGAAAGGAAGCGGGGAGGGAAATAACCACGAGGAAGGGAGGAGGAAACAGAGAAAACAGAAAAGAAACGTGTGAAGAATGAAATGGAGACAGTTCCTCTGAGCAGGGTGGGTGGCAAAGGGTTAAGGATGGGCTCAACATTCTGAACATAAAACGCAGACAAATCAGATTCTTGGGGATATTATTAGTATTATTATTATTCATTCCGCCTTTCCCCCAGACCGGGACTCAAGGCGGTTTACACAAATTGAAGCAACACAGATAAAATACAAAAAGCTAACATTGAAAAGTAATGGAACTCTAATAGAATTAAAGCAATTCAAAGAACGAATCTATTAAAATGTAGATAATAAAAACAGTACAGCACTATTAAAATCCATCTAAGTCAGAGGAGGCAAGGTAATGAACCCGAACCTGAGTAGATTTTCATAGCTCAGTCGGTAGAGCGTGAGACTCTTAATCTCAAGGTCGTGGGTTCAAGCCCCGAGTTGGGTGAAAGATTCCTGCATTGCAGGGGGTTGGGATAGATGACCCCTTGGGGTCCCTTCAAACTCTACAATTCTGTAATTCTATGGCTTCAATGGGTCTACTCTGAATGGGATTAGCACTGGGAACCAGGAGGCCTCCCCAAAGACTGGGGGCAGTATTAGCAGTTACAAGGGCAGCACGGTTCTGCCTGGCTTCATTCTAACAGCTCGGAAACAGGCTGAAATTCAACAGATGTGGTTCTCCCCCCAAAAAAACTTTTTTTGAGGGGTGAAGTTTTTTTAAAATTTCATTTTATAATACATACAACACAGAGAGAACACTTATAGCAACAGATGAAATTTAAAAAGACTATAACAATTACAGTAGGCCCACAACATGCATGTATTTAACTTGTGCGTGTTCAGATTTAAGTGTTTGGCAATATATATATATTTTTAAATTTAAAAGTGGGTGGGAAAGGGGTTGGCGTCCAGGAGAAAGGGCTTTGGCAATCTCAGCTGCTGCTCCATCCAATGTGTTTTGACTATACAGTGGTACCTTGGGTTACATACGCTTCAGGTTACATACGCTTCAGGTTACAGACTCCGCTAACCCAGAAATAGTGCTTCAGGTTAAGAACTTTGCTTCAGGATGAGAACAGAAATCGTGCTCTGGCGGCACAGCGGCAGCGGGAGGCCCCATTAGCTAAAGTGGTGCTTCAGGTTAAGAACAGTTTCGGGTTGGGAACGGACCTCCGGAACGAATTAAGGACTTAACCCGAGGTACCACTGTACCTGATTTGGGTACAATCTTCGGAATCTAACCCCCGCGCTAAGTTGTGGGCTGACTATATCTAACAGGCACACTGAATGAGTCCAGTCGCACATGGGTGAAAAATAACAAAGTCCAAGTACAGACTATTGACGGTGTCAGATCATCAGGTATCGCTCCAGATTCACCAGGCTTGTGATTCACCAGGTTGTGTTGAAACTGATGCTTCCATTGTATATGAAATAAAGGGATGGCAAATCATATAAAAAGCGTCTGTTGAAATCTCCAATTATATGTGATTTTCTCCATTGTGACTACGTTCCAGAGTGAGTGCCCAGTGTAAGATTTAGAGCTGTTTTCCATCGAGCTGGAAAGAGAACAAGGCTCTTCATCTCAGTGTCATGGGTTCGAATTCCACACTGGGCAAAATATTCCTGCGACGCAGGGGGCTGGACTAGATGATATTTGGGGTCCCCTCAAAACCTGCAATTCTATGACTATTCCAGCTGCCAAGATCATATACAAGACCAGTTCCTTTGGCAATATATCTACAATGGTTGGTTCCCATTGGCTGTAAGCTGCTTTGGGTTGCGCTGGGCAAAATAGAACAAATCCCATAAATAATATATAATTAATAAATAAATAAATAATAAAATAAGAATAATCACCCCCAAATCTTGACCCTCTGCTTAAGTAGGGCTGCCATACGTCTGGACATTACCAGGATTCTAAAGGCAGAACTGACATGGACAACAACAAATTTTGGGGGTCCTTAAGCTTTTTTTTTTAAAAAAAAAAAAAGGTAAACAGTTTGGGGGTCTTCCCAGTGCTTTTTTTCCTAGGGGGACGCATACCCCTAAACATTTTGTGAATCTTTGTACTTTTGCCCATTTTACTGTATTTTTTCCCCCGCTTTGAACTACTATAAAATGGTGATTTTTCTTGAGTCAAAATGGGAGTACCCATAAACATTTTTTTAAAGAAAAAAAAGCCCTGGGTCTTCCTAAAAAAGAAAACGTTCAACAACTTTTGGGGTGTCTTGGTTTTTACTTTTTGAAATATAGCAACCCTAGTTCAAGATTCGACCAAAGCTTCATGGAGCATCCAGCCAGAAGCTTACAAATAGCAAATTAAGAGTCTCGTTTGGAGGCGAAGGGGGGGTGACCTCGGCCGCCCCTTTCGCCCCCCGATCCTCTGGCACAGGACCCCCCAAGACTGTGGCTGGACCAGCGAGCCGCCCCCCTTCCCTCGTTAGCCCCCTTTCCGCGTTCCGCGGGAGATTGTGCCTTTGTCACTTTCCGCTCCGCTGCCCGCCTCCCTCTCCCCCGCGCAGTCCGTTTTTAATAGGTTCATTCGATGCTACACTTTCCTTTATTATTTGACAAATGGGATAACAAATGGAAAAAGCACTCAATGTGGTCTAAATGGAAAAACAGGGGAGGGCAGGAGGAGCGGGCGGGGGGGATAGAGAGAAGGGGCTCCAAAACCACCAGCGCGCACGACGCAGCCTTATAGAGAGATGCAATTCTCCATGACATTTTTGCTTTCAATTAAAATAGAGGAAAGAAGATATTTGAAGAAGAAAAAAATAAAAATAAAACAGGCTAGGGGGGAAAAAACCCCATCACACATCATTCAGGGCCTTTTTCTCCCTACAGCTTTGCAGGCGGGAAAGCTTTTCTTCTTTGTGTGCAACCTTCGTTGGGGGTCGAGGTGGGGACACACATGCAAGCAGGGGGAGGAGCCGGAGACAAAAGTGGGCGGTGCAACTTACACGGGTTTTACCTCTGCCCGCTGGACTAAATTTTGCCCCTCTCTCTCCCCCACGCAGAGACATCGCCTTGCCAACAAGGTGGTTATAGTATAGTTAAAGCTATGGTTTTCCCAGTAGTGATGTATGGAAGTGAGAGCTGGACCATAAAGAAGGCTGATCACCGAAGCATTGATGCTTTTGAATTCTGGTGTTGGAGGAGACTCTTGAGAGTCCCATGGACTGCAAGAAGATCAAACCTCTCCATTCTGAAGGAAATCAGCCCTGAGTGCTCACTGGAAGGACAGATCCTGAAGCTGAGGCTCCAAGACTTTGGCCACCTCATGAGAAGAGAAGACTCCTGGAAAAGACCCTGATGTTGGGAAAGATGGAGGGCACAAGGAGAAGGGGACGACAGAGGATGAGATGGTGGGACAGTGTTCTCGAAGCTACCAGCATGAGTTTGACCAAACTGCAGGAGGCAGTGGAAGACAGGAGTGCCTGGCATGCTCTGGTCCAGGGGGTCACGAAGAGTCGGACACAACTAAACGACTAAACAACAACATCCCCCACGCAGAGAGGCAAGGAGTGTGATCAGAGTTCAAGCATACACTCCCAGCCCTGCAGAAACCCTCCAGGAGGATGTAAAGCAGGGCTGGTGAGGGGTGTGGCCTGGTGGGAGTTCTGAGGGCCAGGTAGAGTGACCTGGAGGGCCACATTGAGCCCCCGGGCACTGAGGTTTCCCCCCACACACACACCTGATGGAGTTTGTGACTGCACACTAAAAGTAGGGGTTTAATATGCAAGAGGCGCATTGTCCCCACAGTAAACAGCCCTATGCAAGCACTCTAAATGACTGATCAGGACTAGTCCTCATTTCCGGGTTTGTAATGTTGCAGGAATTAGGTTGGGGGGGGGGGTTGCCCCTCCATCAGATATCATGCACATGCAGCCCATTACCAAAATCAGCAGAATCACTTTTGTGACTTTTGTGATTTGTCTCCACAAAACACTTCATCAGAGTTTCTTCCCATCTATTCAAAGGGCCTTTGCTGCACGATACCAAATGTAAGAATTCACTGATAAATGCATCTATGTACTGGCTCACTGGGAAAACTTCAGAAATTCATATAGACATGTGAGCTCAGCTACTCAGCAGCCCCTCTGCCTGAGTGATAATTCCTGGCATCCTGATACCTGAGTGCCAGACAGGTAGCCATTCCAGAAATAACAAACCCAGATGAAGCCAAAAGCGTGTGGTTAACTTGGCTGGGAAACAGGGAAATGTAAATATCTCTTTTGTGACACTTGATGGGTGTTTGGTGGAGGGCAAGGGGAACCATGGGGCAGGGTTAAGGATGCTCAGATTACTGCCACCAGACCTCGCCTTTCATGATGTAACCGTGATGTAGTCTGGGGGGTGTAACATGGGGATTAGCAGCTAATAAAAGTTTGGGGGCTCTTTTGTTCGGGGCTTCCATCTTGTTCCACCTTGTGGCAGGTGGGAGTTCTGTCGCAACAGTCTTCAATAAAGACCAAGCCTACTGGCTGCTGTTTTGCTCTGGTATTCCTGGCTGGTGTCCTTGTTTTTTTTGTCCAAGGGAGCCCTCAGATTTCTCCATTAACAGTAAGAAGTGGGGAAAATAGCACCCCCCATTCTTCCTCCCCCAATTAAACGCTTCTGCCCAGCACAAACCCACCTATTCTCTCTCCCCTCCTTCTCCTCCCCCGCTGCTGCAAAAGGGTTGCCAACTTCTTTAACACCCCTGAACAAAAGCACCTCATGGGGAACGATTTATCCTGTGAGGCTTCCCCCATCTTCAATGATCTGATGGGCGACAGCATGATGGAATAGGCAGTCTGGTCCAGCAAGGCTCTGCTCAATTTTCTCACACTCTTATCATTCTTTTAAAAAAACCAAAAAACCTAAAGCTGTAAAATGTACATTTAAAAAATATAAACCTCAGATTGCCCAGAATTATCCATCAAACACAGGAAAGGAGGAGAAAGGGATCCCCCCCTCATCTACACAAGCTGTTCTTTCAATTTCTTCTTTGATGCATTTACCCTTTTGTCAGGGGGAGGTAAACAACGACCCAACTTCACTGTATACATCAAGGGGAAAGGTTCGTGAGGATCAAAAGGGATATGAGCGATACATCTTTTGATAGTGGGAAGATAAGACGAACTGGTTATTTTCAAGGCTGGGAGGAGCAGGGGAAAGAGAGAGATTAGCCGTGATGGAGAGATGGCTGTACAGGAAATCATATCTGGAGACAGCGAGGGAATATAAAGAGAAAGAAGCAGACAGGCCTTGGATTTTCATTTCAACTGAATCTTAAAACCAGCCAAGTCCCCAAACTGTGCCCAGCTAGATCCACGAGACGTCCACAAAGAAATAAATGAAGGGATGAAAAGCTTGAGAGTGACCTAAATCGCAGAGGAGGTTGTTTGCTGCCTCCCTGCTTGAGTGCCTGTCCGCTTGGGCCTGGCCTCCTTCCCTTCACAGGAACATAAAAGCAGCCCCTCGGGGTGAGGACGGAGACCCACCTATAGCACGTCATAGGAGACCCACCTATAGCACCTATAGCACTGTTACCCAAAGTGACCAATCAAATGCCTCCGGGAAACCTATTAAGCAAGGCGTGAGGGCAGCCGCTGCCTCCCACTGTCAATCTCCAGATCCTGGAGGTAGTATACAGCCCTTGCAATTGGTAGCCATGGATAGCTACACCCTACATGAGTTTCCTTAATCCCCTTTAAAGTCAACCTGGTTAGCAGTCCTTACAACACCTTGTGGCAGGGAGTTCCAAAGTTATTAAACTATGTGATGCTGTGTGAAGTAGTTGGGAATGTAAAAAGCTGTCTTATACTGAGTCAGACTGGTGCACCATCAAGCTCAGTATTGTCTACACTGACTGGCAGCAGCCCTCTGGTGTTTCAGGCAAGGGGGCCCTCCTAGCACTATGTCGAAATAAGGACCTCAGAAATAAGGACTTCTAACAGTGGAGACAGAGTGCAGCCATCATGGTTAATAGCCACAGACAGCCTCCACAGACCGGTCCATTCCTCTTTTAAAGCCGTCTTGCTTTGGTGGCCATCACTAAACCTTGTGGGAGTGAGTTCCACAGTTTAACTGCGCCCCATGCGAAGAAGTTCTTCACCATTCTCAACCTGTGGGTCCCCAGATGTTGTTGAACTACAACTCCCATCATCCCTGGGGTAATGGGAGTTGTAGTCCAACAACATCTGGGGACCCACAGGTTGAGAACCACTGCTAGCCTGCCCCGATTTCTCCCAACATTCAGCTTTCAGATGGCCCTGAGTTCTAGTCTTACGAAAGGCAGGGCGAAAACAATGCTCTCAATCTTCTTCTTCCACACTGTCCATCATCCGACACATCTCCATGGTCCCCTCTCACTTTTCCCTAATTTAAAGTAAAGGTAAAGGGACCCCTGACCATTAGGTCCAGTCGTGGCCGACTCTGGGGTTGCGGCGCTCATCTCGCTTTATTGGCTGAGGGAGCTGACGTTTGTCTGCAGACAGCTTCTGGGTCATGTGGCCAGCATGACTAAGCCGCTTCTGGCGAACCAGAGCAGCGCCCGAAACACCGTTTACCTTCCTGCTGGAGCGGTACCTATTTATCTACTTTTACTTTGATGTGCTTTCGAACTGCTAGGTTGGCAGGAGCAGGGACTGAACAACGGGAGCTCACCCCGTCGCAGGGATTCGAACCGCCGACCTTCTGAGTCCTAGGCTCTGTGGTTTAACCCACAGCGCCACCCGCGTCCCTTCCCTAATTTAAAACACCCCAAATATTGTCTACTTTCCTGGGGCACAGATGCTCTACCACTGAGCTACAAACAGAAGTTCTTCTTTTCCCCTCTTCTGAATCTCTTACCCTTCAGCCTTCATTGGAGCAATGGCCCCTTGCTTCCCTGTCATGTAGAGCGAGCAAAATCTCCCTAACCCCTTTCCCAACCCACTGGCCCTAATTTTACTCTCCATGATCCCTTGTTTCCTTACTCACATTCCCCCGCTCAAAGTAAAAAGCAGGTTGACCCTTCCTCACTGGGATGTAGCTCCAAGTTCTTTGATCGTTCTGGTTGTCTGCCCTTCCCAAATTCTCCAAGAGCGTCTCTGGAGGGGTTGCCTGGTTCTGATTCTGCCAGCTAAATTGGGACAGATTTACTTATGGGGGTGGCAATCAGAGCCCAGAGGAAGCCTGGTTGTGATTATATATCAAATGAATGTCCTGATCGGAAATTGCCAGGGGTCATCCCTTGAGATGCTGCCAGTCAGAACAATATCATCCAAGGACACAAACCCCACAGTGCCAGTGGCCCAGCAAAGTTTTAAATCAGCGTCGGTCACAAACAAGTAAAGCAAATCTCTTTGGCTTGCCTTGGTTTTCTCCCACCTCCTTCACCCACCCCATCTTTAAATAATAATAATAATTTATTATTTAAACCCCTCCCATCTGGCTGGGTTTCTCCAGCCACTCTGCGTGGCTTCCAATGGAATATTAAAATACAATAACCTATTAAACATTAAAAGCTTCCCGAAACAGGGCTGCCTTCAAATGTCTTCTAAAAATCTGGTAGTTGTTTTTCTCTTTGACATCTGGTGGGAGGGCGTTCCACAGGGTGGGCACCACCACTAAGAAGGCCCTCTGCCTGGTTCCCTGTAACTTGGCTTCTCGCAGTGAGGGAACCGCCAGAAGGCCCTCAGAGCTGGACCTTAGTGTCCGGGCTGAACGATGGGGGTGGAGACGCTCCTTCAGGTATACTGGGCCAAGGAACCGGACACTAAGGTCCAGCTCTGAGGGCCTTCTGGCGGTTCCCTCACTGCGAGAAGCCAAGTTACAGGGAACCAGGCAGAGGGCCTTCTTAGTGGTTTGAGAGTTGCTGGATTAGCCTAAACTTCCTGCAGTCTCAAAGTACCGTATATTTTGCCCTAATAAAGTTCCTGCTCAACACCACTGTGTTTTGAAGTGATTACAGATGTAATTCGAGATAGAGTCTTGCTCTGGTCACCTTTCACAAATTACGAAGCCCATTTTGCTGCGTGTAATCTGGCATGGAGTCCCTAAAATGGTTGGATGGTGCCTTGTACGCCTCCTTCCAGCAGCTCCTGCAGCCACGCTGGTGCTCTGCTTTCCTTTGGGCCACATCAGCGAAGCCGGTGTGTGTGTGTGTGTATTTCTTGTCATCTGGGTAGCCCAGGACCTCCAGACACACTGCACAGGCTTGCGCCTCGTGGAGGTCACTCCATTGCTGTTTGACTTCACCCCCCGAGGCACACTCCATTGTCTCTCGAGACAGACGGATGCCAACCACAAGGTTTGTGTGTGCGTGCTGTGTATTAATGAAAGTAAAGGTGCCTGAAGGAGTGTCTCCACCCCCATCGTTCTGCCCTGGCACTGACACTCGAACTCAGGACGCAAGAGAGAAATGTGCTAGGAGGAAGGCACGTTTGGCAAATCCACACCGTGATCAACTCCTCCCCGGAAACCCATGTCCCCACTGTGGAAGGACGTGTGGATCCAGAATTGGCCTTCACAGTCACTTACGGACTCATTGTTAAAACCGTGTTCATGGAAGACAATCTTACTCGGCTACGAGTGATCGCCAAAGAAGAAGTAGATTGGGATGTTTGAGGGATGAATGCTTCCCTTTTAAAAAAAATGCCTCAGATAGTCTTTGAAAAATGTTGGCTTAGTCAATCTGAGCACCAGTGGCCATTCATGGCTGTTAAGAACAATAGATTTGGTTTCTTAACACCTTTAAGGCTCCTCTGCCCACCCACCCACTCCCCGAAAGGAAAGGAAAATGGCAAGAGTTATTTATAAGCCAGTGCAACCCACGGCCAGCCCGACATAACGATTATTTACTTGACGCTCCTGACCGCCTTGTCAGCTTATAAATGGGGCTGTTAAATGCTGCTAATCACGTCCTGCAAAACGGCTCTCTCTGGCGGCTGCATAATTGGCAGCCACTAGGTTTTCACCACCCCCTTCCTTCCCAATGCTCTTTTTTCATTTTGCAAGAAAAGGGAAGAAAATAGGATTTTTGAAAAACAGAGCTGCGTACCAGTTGCAGCTTTGCTTCCGCTAAGCTAGCGGCCCTCACCTGGGAAGAACATCCCGCTCTCAGGATGGGAGGGGGGCTTTCCAGTGATGTAAGGGGGGTGGATACCAAAGCAGGGGTGGCCACATAGATGCAAAGGTCCATGATAGGGATTTAATTTTTATTCTTTCGTTTTATTTTTATTTTCTGTTATATTGCACAACACAACCATATCTCAGATTGTTCCAGGGCACCTTTCTCCAGCGAGCAAAAGAAGGCCTGGCATTGTTCCCCTTCCCTAGCCGAAATCCAGCAGCATCCTATTCTCACAGAATCATAAGGAACAGGAATTTGTCTCCAGATTTTTTTCAATGAATCCGGGGACACTTTTTTTTTTTTAGCTGAGTAGCAACAGGGAGTCAGTAGTGGGGATGGTGAGGCAAAAGACCCTGGGCCCAAGCACACATGCACATTGTAAAAAGGTGTAAAGCCCTTCTTTCACACCCTATGAAACATAAATGTGCAGAATTTAAAAAAACCTGAGAAATGGCCATCCGTCCATGACTCCCAAGCCACCCCCGATCTCCTTCCCCCTTCCCCCTTTGTTTTGACTGATCAGGGGAGGCTCGGGAGTCATGGGCAGACGGCCGTTGCCAGGTTTTTAAAAAACTCTGTGCATTTATGTTTTGCAGGGTGTGAAAGAAGGGCTTTGCATCTTGCCTGGCAGAGAAACTGCGCACCTTGCGCTCCTTCTGGGCAACACCCACCCGCCTGCGACTCCTGAGAAGAAAATAGTTTGGATTTGATATCCCGCTTTATCACTACCCGAAGGAGTCTCAAAGCGGCTAACATTCTCCTTTCCCTTCCTCCCCCACAACAAACACTCTGTGAGGTGAGTGGGGCTGAGAGACTTCAGAGAAGTGTGACTAGCCCAAGGTCACCCAGCAGCTGCATGTGGAGGAGCAGGGAAGCGAACCCAGTTCACCAGATTACAAGTCTACCGCTCTTAACCACTATACCACACTGAGCCTCCCCTGATCTGTCAAAACAAAGGGGGAAGGGGGCAGGAGATCTGTACCATTGGACATCCCTGGTTCACCTTTGGTAGCGGCAGCGAGCAGCTCCTGAAGCCAGCCAGAGCCAACTGCGCTACCAGGCTGGCTCCGGGCTGCTGAGGCTGCCACAGCCGCGTTTCCCGGGGACAGATTTGCAAATCTGGAGACATTCTGGGGACGGAATTTGTCTGAGGACAGATTTGCAAATCTGGGGATGTCTGGTAACCCTATCTTAAAAACAAAAATGAGCTTCTCTGGAAGCTGAATTCTGCAGATGTTGTGTCAAAGATAAGAACAAGAGAAGATGCCTGTTGGGTCAGGCCAGGTACTCATCCAGCCCAGCGTCCTGCTCTAACAGTCTCCAGCCAGATGCCTCTGGAAAGGCCACAGTCAGGATCCAGGGAAAAGAGCAACTCTCCCCTCCTGTGTTGTAGAGAGCCAGTGTGGTGTAGTGGTTAAGAGCGGTAGACTTGTAATCTGGTGAACTGGGTTCGCTTCCCTGCTCCTCCACATGCAGCTGCTGGGTGACCTTGGGCCAGTCACACTTCTTTGAAGTCTCTCAGCCCCACTCACCTCACAGAGTGTTTGTTGTTGGGGAGGAAGGGAAAGGAGAATGTGAGCCGCTTTGAGACTCCTTAGGGTAGTGATAAAGCGGGATATCAAATCAAAATTCTTCTTCTTCTTCTTCTTCTTCTTCTTCTTCTTCTTCTTCTTCTTCTTCTTCTTCTTCTTCTGTGTTTTCCAGCCACTGGTATTCAGAAGCATAGCCATTTCTCAATAGCCCTCTCCTCCACCATGAATTTGTCTAAACTTCTTTTAAAGCCATCTAGGTTAGTGGCCATCACTGCCTCCTCCTGTGGGAGGGAGTTCCACAGTTTAACTATGCTTGTTTGTTTGTTTGTAGCATTTGTACCCTGCACTTTAGCCACAAGGGCTCCCACACCAGCTTACATAAAATCAAGGCAAGACACTCCCTACCCGCAGGCAGACAATCTAAATTCAGTTTAAGGCTATGTCAGAGTCAGACCCAGGGCTAGATTTAGTATAAGGCACTTTCCTCTGTGCTGATTTCGATGAGCTTTTTAAATTCAGACCCACAATGACTGGAATCTTGCTTTAATTTTACAGGAAGGGCCTTAGCTTGGTAACAGAGCTTAGCTGGGAGAACCCAGGTTCACTCTGTTAGAATTCCTGCTCCATGGTTGCAGTCATGGGATTGTTGTCTATCACATGACGTCTATCACATGATGTTTTGATTCCACAGAGTGGGAAGTGATGGAGACAGGACGTTTGTGTTCCTGTGTTCCGTGAAGTGGGACTATTGTCCTTTGTTCTTTTTCTCTTTGCTGTCTGATGCTAGAGAGAGAGGGAGCCATGTTGCAGTGCTCCGTGTGTGTTTATATGTAAATAAAGTAGATTAGCCAAAATGCTGAGTTGCTGAGGTCTGTTATGCAAGCTGCGAAGATTCTGTGGATCCCTAAGTGTGCCGATATCTGTTGGCACCGGTTGCTGTGATGTTCAGGCTGAAGAAAGCTTTTGAAGCTCCCAAACGATCGACCAGGAGGGAGAGAGCATGCCAGTCGGGCATGTGTCTCTGCCAGGGTCCTACTCGAGAGTAGGACGTGCTCCTGACACACTCTCAGTCTTCTCCAGATTGGGCTAGAAAAAGTTCCCTGCCTGAAACTCTGGAAAGCCTCTGCCAGCCAGTGTCGACAATATTGAGTTAGATGGCCTAACAGCCTGAT